TATATACACACACACACACCCTGCACACATATGGGCACAATGTAAATTTAAAATATCTGTTTTAAGCTTTGGAGAAGAAGAAGAAAGTCTGCTCTGACTCAGAAGCCTCAGAGTCCTCCTCCAGTGCATCCAGTTCATCAGAGTCTTCATCTGAAAGTGAAGCTGAGAATGAAAGAAGCAGAAGGAGAAAGCGTAAGAGAAGAGCTAAAACCAAACAGTCAAGAAAACGAAGGAAGGAGGAGAGGAAGAAGGAGGATCCAAGGTGCAAGAGAACCTCAAGCCAAAGACGGTGACTAGGCTCTTAAGTTTCAGAATTTCAGAGAAATCTGAGAAATTCTTTGTTTTCATGAAGTGCTCAAGCAGTGAATGTGGAAATGCTTTGATTTAAGTTTGGATTTTGATGCTTGATTTTACAAACAAGCTTAACCAACCAAACAAGCAAAAAAAATCCTAAGGCTGAGCTTGGTGAGTTGAGTTTTCTATGATAGAACTCAAGGTCTTTGTAGCTAGAAGCTGAGTGACATTGAAATGAGTAAGTCTCAGCATGTGAGAGTGTTTGGGGCTCAGCACACCTGTGTTCAAGTGAGACTTTAGGCAAATAATACAACTTTGAGATATATTTGATTATATTCTAAAAGGATTTCCATGACAAGTTGTAAATTAGAGGCAAAATTATTTCCTGTAAAACAAGAACTGAACCTTTTCTCAAATAATAGTGGATCTTCCTTCCCATAGCCTAAAATGGGTTGTCAAACATGTTTTGGTTGGTAAACCATCTTGAAGTTTGGTGCATCAGGTGGGTTTGGCTTGGAATTCACTTGGAAAAGTGATGTTCTCTCGGTTGCAGCTAATTTTGACTTCTCCCCTTCCTTCTCCCCTTAGCAGCCTCTCTGACAGGAGTGACACAACAGACAGAGCAGTGGATGTTAGCACAAAGAGGGACAAACCTGTGGTACGTCCTGAAGAAATTCCCCCAGTGCCTGAAAATAGATTTTTGCTCAGAAGAGATGTGCCTGTTGTCAGTGTAGAGCCTGAACCGTAAGGAACTCTGAGCTTTTTCTGTTGATTTGGTGAAAACTGTGCATGAAATATTGCTGTTAACATTCTGTCACCAGTGTTGTGATGGTTGTAGGGACAGAATTTCTACCTGAGGTGATTTCATTGTCCTTTTTACAGTTTACCGTGTCATATTCCTTACAACCTATGCCAGGGTTTGGCAGTGAGATCTCATGAGTTAGTTTCATGGGTCCTTAAGGATCACATGTGTTAAACTGAGCTGTAGATGATGCAAAAAAAAACCACCTGAGTAATTCCAGGAAAAATTTCGCTAAACCACAGAAAATACTTAATGGCAAGGCTAATTTGGGATTGGGAGAGGTGATTTTTCATCATAGACTGAAGAAGACATGTGGGTTCATAATTAGTCACCTGAAATTTTATGACTCATCTGTGTTTGAGAATAAGAGAAAATACCCCTGTTTTGCCACAAAGGAAGTCAGGAGTTCGCAAGATATTTCAGTTTGTGTTTTGTACCTCTACTAAATTGCAATTAGATTGTTTTTAAATGAAATTTCTTGCCTTTTGATCAAGGATGAGCTAATATATAATATTGCCAGATTTTACTAATTTTTCCAAAGCCTTAGTAACTGCTTCTGTGGTGGATATTACCCCAACTGTAAAAAGGAGTGTGGAATTCCCTCTTGTTGCTTAGGAAAGAATCAAGGCTTTAGAACCTGGGAATTGCCATTCACTCCTCCCAGACATTGTTGGTAACTGCTGAGATCCTGAAACTCTTCTGTCCATGTTGTCAAAGGGATTTGTGCCCTAAACACAATTTAACCTCTTTAACAGTGCTTTGCAAGTTCATTGTTAGCATTATTTGTATGTAATGAGTCTCAGGCCACACACTGGTTGAAAACAAGTATATGTTGATTTGCCTTTTGTTGCAGAACTGCCTGTCTTTTTCTTGGAAAATTCACTAAATTCTTAGTTCTGCCTCAAAATAAATGAATAAGATGATGAATATTTTTCATTATTAACTTAAACTAATTTAAAGCTAGTTGGTTTTGCCTTGTAAGCTCATATTTTATTAATTTATATAGGAACCTTCTTGATGCTGCACCAGTTGTGACTGACCAGAAACCATCAGTCTCTAAATCTGGACGAAAAATTAAAGGAAGAGGCACAATAGTATGTGACAATTTTATTTCTATATTTGTTTCCTCTCACCCAGAGCATCCTCTCTGACCTTGAGCTTTGAATTTCCTTGGAGGCTTTGTGTGGCACTTCATTGTTTACATCATGTAGATTCTTGTTTAGAAGGTTAAAATATTGTCAGATAGTTGATTTTAGAACATTTTTTCCCTATCTTTCTTGCGACTTCTTTTTGTTTAAAGATTGATTGGGAAAACAAATGCTTATTCCTCAGCTACAGGTCCACAAGCATAAGAATAAAATTATTCCTTTTAAAAGATGGAAGCTAATTCAGCCACATTCCTCCCACACAAATCACAGCATGTAAAGTAATGAGAAGTGACAAGAGCTTTTACTCTTCTCCACTCATTGGATTCCTTTACTGTTTTGTCTAAGCTTTAGGACTGCAGCATATAACAGTAGACAAAGCTGCTCTGCAGTGTCCTGAGTGGTTGCAGCACTTTCAGTCATCTATTGCAAAAGCTTTTCTTGTCTCTTCTCTAATAACCCACAATACAAGCCCCAAAACATTGATTTTTTAGTCAGTAGAAGAGGGAGAAATAAGAAAAGCTTTTGTAATTGTACATTTGATTCTGGAGTATTCAAATCATGACTGAGGATATTCATAGAATCATAGAATGTTAAGGGGTTGGAATGAAGATCATCTAGTCCCAACTCCCCCTGCCCTGGGCATGGACACCTCCCACCACACCAGGTTGTTCAAGGCTTTATCCAATCTGGCTTTGAACACTGCCAGGGTTGGGCCAGCCACAACCTCCCTGGGCAACCTGTGTCAGTGTCTCACCACCCTCACATGAAAAAACCTTCCTAATATCTAAATTTCCTTCTTTTAATTTATCCCCATTGCTCTTTGTCCCATCACTACAATACCTAACAAAGAGTCCCTCTGCAGCTTCCCTGTAGCCCCTTCGGTCCTGGAAAGTTGGTATGAGGTCTCCACACAACCTTCTCTTCTCCAGGCTGAACAGCTTGTCTTCACAGGGAAGATGCTCCAGTACTCTTACCAGCTTTGTGTCCCTCCTCTGGACTTGCTCCAACAGTTCCATGTCCTTATGCTGGGGACACCAAAACTGTATGCAGTACTCCAGGTGGGGTCTCACAAGAGCACAGTAGAGAGAATCACTTCCTTTGCCCTGCTGACCACAATCCTTTGGATGCAGCCCAGGATTCTTCCCCTTTAGAATCAATCAATTGAGCAGGTGGCATTTGGGTAACCATAAACTAAAGCTTGGTCCTGCCAAATTCTTTTGCAAAAGGAAGTCCTCAAACAAAAATGTGTATATATAGACATCAATCCCTATGTATATTGTAATGAAAAGTTGTACTAGAATGGTTCTAACTGAGATTCCTCTAAACACGACTTTTTGTATGTGATAGCCACTGGATTTAGGAAGTACTTTTCCACTGCCATGATACAGTGATGATGATATAATATCCCCGTTATGATACTTAAAGTCACAAAATTAATGGCTTAGATGATCGTTGCATGGACCAAGGTATTGTAGTATTTGAGTGTCAGTTGTTTTTTGCCAGCCTTAACATGAAATGTGAGAGCTGCCTTTGCACCTGACAGCTTGCATTTGTGTTTGAAACTTCTGGGATCCACTAAAGGATGCCTTTAAATGGAATATACTGGGACTCTGAGCAGCCTGGTCTAGTGGAAGGTGTCCCTGCCCATGGGAGGGGGAGGGAACAAGCTGGTCTTTAAGGTCCCTTCCAACCCTCACCATTCTGGGATTCTATAATTCTAAATATTTATGTGAATTTAGACTTCTGGAAAAAATAGCTTAAAGCTCAGTAGAATTAGCTTTTGCTAGGTATTTGGGTGTCTATGTCTTGGTTTTCATCATTTTGGCAAAATTAGGTATGAAAAACAGAACTAATGTAGGTCTAGCAGGTAGTTGGTAAAAGACATTTTTCTGCCATCTCTGAATAGTTTGATTAGCAGCACTTACTGTTTTGAAAAACATCAGTCGAAATTTGTAAATTCCAAGAGATTCCTGAGTATAGTATATGAGAATTAGGGAGGTCCATGAGCCCTTCACAACCTGTGATATCAAAGCTTTTTTGAAGTGGTCATTGCTTCAGCTCAAAGGATGGTGAAGCTCTAAATGGCAGGTTATATTATTTTTTTTTAGTAGAAACAGGATGTCTTAAAGCCTTCTGTAATTAACTGTATAAACCAAGATATGCATCTTTCAGACTTTGTTCTGGGGGGCAGTATGGGTTTTTTCCACTTCTCTTGCTTTCCTAAGTGGCTCAAAATAATTAAAGCAAATCCAGATGTGTTTTATTGAGTCAAGGAGCATCTCATTTCCTCGCTGAATTTACCTGAGCGTGTATCCAACTGGGTAATGGAAAATAATGAGTTAGCAATATTAGAGGTTTTTCTCTGCTGCCCAAGTAGGTCTTATTGCCTACCTAATGCTGTGCCTAAACATTTTTTAATATGAGGTTTAATTACTTCTTTTTGGTGAAAGATTTTGGGGGTTTATAGTTTGGTTTTCTTATTTAATTGCTTGGAATGTGTCTTAAACTGGTTTCCCATTTCTGAAGAGCTGAACAGCAGTAACCTTTGAAATAGGGTTTGTCTTTACCCACACAAGCAGTTCAGTGTCTGCTGACTGAAGTGAAACATCTGTGCTTTTAGTATCTTGAAAAAAAAAAAGGGGTCATTATCTGCAGTAATTGTGTTATTCCAAAAGGGAATCTGTGGCCTCTTCCCTGATCCTTCCTTTTATGTTTTGTAAAATGGATTAGCTGCTGGCCCCTCTCAGCTTTGTGAAATGCTTAGAGTATGAAAACATAGAGTTAGGTATGTAAGAAAAACATCTTTTACAACTCTTTGCCTTTGCTTCCACAGAGATACCACACCCCACCGCGATCCCGATCGTGTTCCGAATCCGACGATGATGAGAGCAGCGAGACTCCTCCTCACTGGAAAGAGGAGATGCAGAGGTTGAGGACATACCGACCACCCAGTGGGGAAAAGTGGAGTAAAGGAGATAAGTAAGATCGTTGTTACAAATGTGAAATATCTTGGGTTTTTTAAAGCTCTGATGTATCAGGATGAGAGGAAATGGCTTCAAGTTTTTTCAAGGGAGGTTTAGGTTGAATCTTAGGATAGATTTTTCCACAGAAGGGGTTGTAAAACTTTGGAACAGGCCACCCAGGGAACTGGTGGAGTCACCATCCCTGGGAGTGTTCAGAAAACATGTGGATGTGGCACTTGAGGATATGGTTTACTGGTGAAAATGGTGGTGCTGGTTGACAGTTGGACTTCATGGTCTTAAAGGTCTTTTCCAACCTTAACAATTCAGTGATTTCCTTTAGCCTCAAACTGGGGTTTATGGTTTCTTTGTAGACCAAATAAGACAATCAAATCCCCCAACCCCTTATTGTGCTAGTTACATGTTTTTTCTGCAGTTGCAAACTGTGTGATGGATGAAGCCAACTCTCCAGAATTTTTAAATCACTTGATACCTGGCAGAGTTCAAGAAGCACTTGGGCAATGCTGTCAGAGACAGGGTGGGATTCTCGGGGCTGTCCTGTGCAGGGCCAAGAGTTGGACTCAATGGTTCTTGTTGGACTCCTGATTCTTTCAAATCAGGATATTATGTGACAGTAAATAAGAGCTTCTATCCAAGTATGATAGATAAACCTCAAAGGAAAACTGTAAAATATTGCATATAACCAATATTGAATAAATGCAGATGTTTATGATGATTCTTCTTTATATACTGAGATGTTTTAAAATTTGTATTTAAATGTGGTTTAAGAATCTTACAGTTGCAGAGGTCAAAGTCCTGTGGAATGTGGTAATTAAAACATTAAATATCTTTACACGGGTTCTACAAGATGCAAAATTTGCTGATGTAGGCTGATTATTTGTTAGAGAGAAATAACTCTTGATAGTGATGGACTTCCATATCTTGAAATGAGTGTGAGAAGCTCAGTCAGAAGGCAATTGGTACTACAGTGTTTGTGTGTGTTAGGGTTTTTGTTAAACTTAATTGCAGTGGAGGTATGGAAAATACTTAGATTATCTGAAGTTTTTTTAAGAATTTCCACTTAGTTTGGGGCTTGTTTGTTTGTTTTCCAGGTTGAGTGACCCATGTACAAGCAGATGGGATGAAAGAAGTGCATCCCGGAGATCCAGGTCTTGGTCACATAACGGTTATGCTGATCTGGGTACTGCAAGGTACTCCAGCCGTCACAAGAAGCACAGAAAGGAGAAAAAGAAGGTGAAGCATAAAAAGAAATCTAAAAAGCAGAAGCATTTCAAGAAGCACAAGCAGACGAAGAAAAAGAAAACATCAGTGTCGTCGGATGTAGAATCTTCTCATTCCTTTCACAGGAGGAGAAAATCATCTTGTGATCGGGAGAGGAAATCTCGTTCTTCTTCGTTGTCTTCTAGGCGTTCATCCAGAAGAGACTGGTCTAAATCTGACAAGGAAGACCAAAGCTCATCATCTTTATCAAGCAGAGGGTCTCGGTCATACTACAGGTCCAGATCTAGATCTAGGTCTAAATCAAGATCTTACTCCCGAAGAAGTTCTAGGTCAAGATCACCCTCTAAATCATCGCGTTCTCGAAGCAGGTCCAGGTCAAGCTCCAACCCTAGGCAGCAAAAGACTGTTCCCAATTCCCCACGAAGTACTTCAACAAGATTAAATGACAGTAAGTTGACAAAGACTGCTGAGCCTGTCCGAGCAGTTATCCTGCCGTGTGACAAAGTTGTCGTACCACCGGTTGTCCCAGAGAGCCTCCCTGTTATACCCTTAAGTGACAGTCCACCTCCTTCCAGGTGGAAACCTGGGCAGAAGCCGTGGAAGCCATCATATGAGCGAATTCAGGAAATGAAAGCTAAAACATCCCATCTAATTCCCACCCAAACTAATTACAGCTTAGTGGTTGTTAAAGAGACCAACACCTCTTCGTCATATCGTAAGCGGGAAAGGAGTTCAGAGAGTGACCGGAGCTGTTATTCCAAAGGCCGTAGCGACAGGAGCTCGGAGAGTTGGCCAAGATCAAGGAGCAGGTCCTCTCGCAGTCGGTCCTACTCAAGGTCTTACACAAGATCGAGAAGTCCATCAAGCTCCAGGACAAAATCCCATTCTTCTGGCAGATCACCATCACCAGGTAAATACCACAGTGACAGGTCAGGGTATAGTGAGTCAACATCATCTTACTCCCTCAGCGATGATGATAGGCATAGGAACAAAAGAAAATCCACATCCAGTGATCCCAAAGTTCGAGGCCTCAAACTGAGGCAGGAAACAAGCTCTGAAAGTACTTTGCCTTGTAAGCATCCCAAAGACTACGATGAGTCTTCTCAAGGATTGAAAGAGAGTGACAGCTTGTCATCTTCAGACTTCTCCACAGACAGTGAGCGCTCTGCCAGAGCCAAGGCAGGCCGAGGAAAAGAAAGTCGTTTTCCAGCAGATGGAGGTACTCAGAAACAGGATAAAAATAGCTTGAGTTCTGAGAGAAGGGAGGAGAAATCCAGGGGTGAGCGTGATTCTGACCATGCCAAGAGGAAATCAGGGAAGGAGAAATCTTCAGAGCAACCTAGAGGTGGTGCAAAAACTAAACGAAAATCCTACTCAGGGAGTAAATGGGACTCAGAGTCGAATTCTGAAAGAGGAGAGGTGAGGCGCAGCAGGGGGGATTCCAGACCCTCCTCTAGTAAGGAAGAAGGAGAGGCCACGTCAGGGTCTGATGCAGAGTTTAGTGTTCCCAAAAGGATTAAAAAACAATCCAATTCCTCAGAAGGCTTTTTGGATTCTGATTGTACGTGGAAGACAAGCAAACAGTTGTCATCATCTGAATCTGAGAGTTCCTGTTCGAGCTCAGCAAACATTCGAGGCAAGTCAAAGAAACACAAACATGGGTTGAAAAAGGCTCTTAAAAAATCTCATTCAAAAAAAGCAAAAGAGAAATCAAAAGGGAAAAAGGAGAAAAAGCACAAAGTCCAGAAAAGAAAAGAACTGTTTCACTGGCAGCCACCCTTGGAGTTTGGTGAAGAGGAGGATGATGAGATAAATGAAAAGCCGGTTACCAAGGATGATAAAAAAGAAAAGCAGCTTAGCAGGGACATACAGGATAAAAAACAAGTTTATGAAAAGGCTGAAATAGTCACAGATAAAGTGGGAAATGGTGACAAGTCTTCTGTAGATGAAAACCTCTTAGATAAAAACACCACATGTGGGGCCTCCCCAGATCGCAGCAGCCTTAAAGAGAGCAGTGGAACAAGTACTTCCACCAGTGTTTTAAACTCAGGAATAATTGTGGCTGTCTGCAAGAATGAGGTGAATCAAGCTGAAGAAAGTAATCAGAACGGATTGGAAGATGTTATTCAGACAGATGACAACATGGAGATCTGTACTCCAGATCGTAACTCACCGGGGAAGGTCGATGTGGACATTTTGTCTCCTGTTATTTTCACTGCTAAACCTCAGGCTCTAAGTGCTGAGATAAAAAAAGAGCTCCAGGTTGAACCCTCTGAGCAAGATGCTGTCAAACTAGGAAACAACATTATAGACTTAATTAATATCAAAGATGAAAAAGAAACAGGAAGGCAAGAAAATAACTCTGTCCCTATGTCCAGTGCTGAGGACTGTGGTGTCAAAAGTCAAATTACTGAAAATACGCTAAGCAATATGATAGACAATAAATGGAAACCCTTGCAAGGAGTTGGTAACTTACAGCCAGCCACAATTAGTACAGCCACAGAGGTTAAGAGTGTAGCAGCAGCACCAGAGCCTAAACCAGCAGGTTTAAGAATTGAAATTAAAGCTAAGAATAAAGTAAGGCCTGGATCTCTCTTCGATGAAGTTAGGAAAACAGCTCGGCTGAACCGGCGGCCAAGGAACCAGGAAAGCTCCAGTGAGGAAGAATCTCCAAGCAGAGATGACAATAGCCCATCCAGGAGTCTCAGCAGGTCACGGAGTAAATCTGAGTCTAAATCCAGACACAGAACAAGGTCCTTATCTTACAGTCACTCAAGAAGTCGATCCCGAAGTTCTACGTACTCATACAGGTAAGAGGTTTGTGCTCCTCCACAGCCTGATGTAGGAACTTGGAGGTTCTGATCTTTTTAAGGCATGTTTTAATTTTTCAACTCAGGTTTTTCTTCTGAACAGCAATGTATCAGAGTCATAGAGTGGTTTGAGTTGGAAAGGCCTGCAAAGGCCATCTCATTCCAGCCCGGCTGCCATGGGCAGGAATACCTTCCACTAGCCTAAGTTGCTCCAAGCCCCATCCAACTTGGCCTGGAACACTTCCAGGGATGGGGCAGCCACAGCTTCTTTGGGCAACCTGTGCCAGTGCCTCCCCACCCTCATAGGGAAGAACTTCTTCCTAGTATCCCATCTATCCCTACCCTCTGGCAGTGGGAAGCCATTCTCCCTTGTCCTGTCACTGTTCTCCCTTGTTCTGTCACTACAAGACCTTGTCCAAAGTCCCTATCCTGCAGCCCTGTTAGGCACTGGAAGGCAGTGTAAGCTCTCCCTGGAGCTTTCTTTTCTCCTTGCTGAGCACCCCCAGCTCTCTCAGCCTGGCTCCAGGGCAGAGATACTCCAGCCTTGTGAGCAACTTAGTGGCTCTGTCATTTAGCCAGTATGGAATCATTTAGCAAATATGGAACAAATATTTTGCTTGAAAGATAAACATTTATAATGTTGTTTTGCTTCCCATTTTCTGCTGCTTTTCACTTCAGTTATATTTTCTGTCATTGTTCATTGTAGGTCTAGAAGCTACTCCAGAAGCCGAAGCAGAGGTTGGTACAGTAGAGATCGGTCAAGAAGTCGAAGTAGTTCTTACCACAGTTACAAGAGTCGTAGGTAAGTTAGTCTAATTGAGGATAATGCAAAGCATGTTGTTCTCCTCTTGCTCCTCCTCTCCCCCTACTCTCTTCAGCACTTGGGGTTTTTTTAATTGACTAAAAATATCTCTGTGCTTTCATTTTTATCAGTCGAAGCTATAGTAGAAGTCGATCCAGAAGTAGTTCTTATGGTCATCACAGTCGATCCAGGTATGGATTATATATACTTGATATAAACTGCAATAAATGTACTTACTACAATATAACTTGGTGTAAGAATACTTTAATTTGTATTTCTTTAAAATAGACTTTAATATATTATTATTTGATACTATTATATATCATGTAAGCGATATAATTTGTTCTACATGCTACAATATAAATGCATATACAAGTACACATTTTTTAATAAGAATGCCTCTAAAGAATATCTTAATTTCATAGTATTATGGAATGGTTTGGGTTGGAAGGGGCCTTAAAGATGATTCAACCCCCTGCCATGGGCAGGGACACCTTTCACTAGACCAGGTTGCTCCAAGCCCCATCCAACCTGGCCTGGAACACTTCCAGGGACCGGTGGGACTTAAAACATTGTAAATAGTGTCATGGTAGCAACTTGAGTCAAAGCAAAATCAACATAAGACAGTTTCAAAAGCTGAAAATAATTAAATCGTTCTTGTTACTGCAGTTGTAGGTGATGAGATAAGAAATAGTGAACACATTTCCCTTTATTGTTAAAATAAAACTGAGTTATAAATGGAATCAGTTGGTTGCTTGTTTTCAGAATTATTAGCAAACAAGATTTTTACTGCATCTACAATTTGTAGAGAAAACAAAACTTTCATTGCTTAGTAGGTCTTCTCTAGGGTAATAAATTTGAGATTTTACTGTTGTTTTGAAGATAATTGTTGAAACTGTTAAAAAGCACAAAATTACTGTTCGCCACATCCTTCCAGAGTAACTTCTGTACAGCCACTCGTCTCTGTATGGAAATGTTCTTAAAACCTGTGTTTAAAAGAGCATTTTAGACCACGAAATTGTAAATTTACAGTTACTTTCTTTTCCATTTAAAGTAGGTCCTACACATATGATAGCTACTACAGCAGGAGTCGGAGTAGGAGTAAAAGGAGTGACAGCTATCGGAGGTCCAGGAGCTACGATCGGAGATCCAGGTATGGCCTTGCTGGCAGCACTTGGACACTACTTATGGAAAAGAATTCCCTAAATACATACTTAGTGTTCATGAAGGCTAAAAGGTTCCCTCACAGCATAAAAAGTAAGTTTGTACCAAAAGCAATAATTAAAACCAGTTAAAATTAGAGCAAGTAAGGACCTCAGAAATTATGCCATAGTAATATGAGGGTGGGGAAGAAATTAGAATAAGAAAGGTCTGAGAAGTCTTCAGTTTGCTGTATGTATGGAATCAAAATAAGCACATTTTCCTAGGGAAGTGGTGAAGTCATCATCCCTGGAAATATTCAAACACACTTGAGGACATAGTTTAATGGTAAAGGCAGCGGTGGTGCTGGACTGATGGTTGGACTTGGTGATCTTGGAGGTCTTTTCCAACCTTAATGATTCCATAATTTGGAGGTTTCTTCTTAATTTTAAATGTTCCTAAAAACTACTCCAGAAAGTAGCTCTCAAGATCTGAATCAAGTGCTCTGTGATGGATTTAAAGCTGCCTCTGGTATGCAAAGAATTCCATTGGATGGTAAGTTCTTTCTGGTTGAACTACAAAAGCTGATTTAAACCAGTCTGAAAGGGAAATTAAAAATTACATTGTAATCCAGATGTAATTTTAAACTTTCTAGTACATATTTGGAAGAATATTACCTGCAAATATGATGAATTTAGGATAAATTTTACTTTACTCAGCCCAAGGAAATTACATAGGTGTAAGTGAGCACATTTCACAGATCAGAGGTGGAACAGGAGATACAGCGAGATACAAACAGATTTACTATCAGTGATGATTTGTTTTATCCCTTTTATATGTCCCTATTAGTCATAAATTATATAGGTCTCTAAGACTGCTCTAATTTTCATCCTCTGCTCTCCGCATACTCATTTTTTAACAAATTTATATCAACTCTTAATGGACTTTGCTCTCACCCATTTCCCCAAGACAACTTTCATCTTGTGTTTGAGAGGAAATTAACGAGATAAATGAAGAATGTGGAAATAAACTTGCAAAATCATTGGGTTACTATGTTGAGAAGCTTCAAAGAAACAATGTTGGATTAGGCTCTGCTCACCTTTCCTATAGAAAGCTTTTCTCACAGGCAGGAGGCTGGAGAAACCTCTCATGAAAGCTTATTCTGTGTAATATGGATACGTCCTGTGGGTTGTCTGAAACCATCTGGACTCTATCTTGAACTTGGAATTCTTCTGGATAAACCAAAACACTTTTAAATAAAAATTTCCACACTTCAGACACACACAGACTTCTGGTGTGGTTCTGAGGCCTAATGAAGACTCTTCTTCAAACAAGAAAATGCCATATATCAAGCAAGGATTTGTGAAATCAGCTTAGCTGAGATATGCTGGCAAGATAAAATGGGATTTATTAGGATATACTTCTCAGTGAGCTATTAGTATGTATTAAAATGTTCATTTTGGGTTTTTTTTTTTAGCTATAACAGAGAAAGCAAGATATTCCAAACACAGTTTGACTTGAGTTACTCAGGTTTTCCTCCATGTTAAGTTAATAATTATTTCAATTTTGAGTATCCTTTAATGAATACTTCAGTGACAAGAAATCCAACTCTGAACAAGCCTTTTTGTGGGTTTTCTTATCTGTGTCTGTCTTGATATTTTTTTGACATGATGCAATTTTGAATTTGAAGCTCAAACTACAGTTTTTGATGCATTTTCATCTCCTCTTTGCAGATCTTATGGCTCTGACAGCGAAAGCGATCGCAGTTACTCCAACAACCGAAGTCCCAGTGAGAGCAGCAGATACAGCTGAAAACATTTTGAGGATGGAAACTGTATTTCATCTTTTTTTTCAGTGTTATGTTAAAAGAAAACCTGTTTCGACAGTGTCACAAGTGAAGGTGTTTGCTGAATTAGCTGAAACTTGAGCATTTCCCAGTGAACTCACTTGACTCTGTACCTGCAGAGAGAAGGACTGAGCTCAACAGCTGAGTTTATTTTATAATTTTTTATGTCAAATGCAACTTTTACAATATAATAATTAAAAACAAAGATCAGGTTTATTTCCTTGAATTAGCTTTTCCAAGCCATGAAATTTAGATGAGTTGCTGCCACCACTTTTCTAGGTGCAGCAGTCAGTACTGTCTTTGAGTCTGTTTATAAACACCTTTAGGACTTTCTGCCTGTTCATAGGAATTCTGTGCTAGCAACTATTAAACTGTGAAGTCAATTTCCTATCAAGGCTGCCGTTTCTAGTCTGTGCAAATGCTCTTTTTAATCCTGGAAGCTGAGTTCTGTGCTGTCTGGTTTGTGGATTCTTGCATTCTATACAGGATAGAGGTGATGAAAACAAAGCCTGGCCACACTGTCTTAATTCTTCCTGAACTGAGAGGTTCTGGAATCCTGCTGGAAAAGGTGAGGTGATACACAGTGGGAATTGTCAAACCGACAAGCAGTGAGAAAAAAATGTGATTAATGAGTTTTGAGCTGAATATCCAACTTGTCTAAACTTTTTATGTTGCAAAAAGGCAATTTGTGATAAACAGCAATGCCCTGAAAAGGCTAAAGGAGTGCTTCTTAAACATTTCTTGCCTTTCATTTCAGTTCCTATTACAGTGCTTGGCATCCTTCAATACATTTTGAATGTTGGAAACCATTGAGTGTATCATGAGTTTGTTCAAAACCTTTCTTAAAACACTGACATGATAATTCCTTGAGAGAACCAGGATGGTTCCTTTATAAAATGCCTGGAGCTGTATCCCATCTGCCATAGGGAATATCAGCAATTGATATTGCAGATATTGAACTCTAGATTGTTAAAGTGATAGGATGACAAAAATCCTTGGATGCCTGATAAAAAAGTACAGACAATACTTTCCAAATGAAGTTTAATACCAAAACCAACTCCATGTTACAAGTAAATGATTTGCAAAAAATAAATAGATTTAAGCTGAAGACCATTGAGTAATTTTTGCAATGTTCTGATTTCAAATAATTTGTCAAGTTTTTCAGGGTTGAGAAAGTTGTGTACTGAGAACCAGATTTTAATGGCATAATGTAACCTGAAAATTGGGATCTGTGGTGACTAAACAGACTAACATTGCTTAATTAGAGCTACTGAGCACTGTTGTATCATAATAGGTTTCATTACTTACTGACTTTATGTAATATCTGGAGAGGTTTTCATTTTCTCAAATGTTTTCAAATATTGGAATTTTTTTTAAAGTCTCATCAGGACGCAACAGCTTTGGAAATTAAGTGGTAATTTCTCACTTAGGCATCACTTCATTTTCTCTTTGATTGAATTAAGTTATCCCAAATTAGATATTTTTTTGTGTGTACACTTGTGAAACGTGAGAAGCAAGTTCAAAGGGAAGTTTGCAGACTGTGCTGATGTCCTCCATTTATGGCCATCAGCAGCTTAAGATGATGTTTGTACACATGTTCCTGAAACTGAATTTGCTACAGAGGTTTTTCACTTTTCTAGAAAAGCACAAAAGTCTGGTCTTAGATGATTCCTACTCTTGTAGTTCACTGACAAAGTGTGTGCATGGAATCCTTTCCAATCACTGTTTTGTAACATTCTTATGCTTTTTAACATTAAATATATTTATTACTCAAGTCAGGAAACATTTACAAACAGGTTTCTAACAGCAGCAGCCACCTGAGTCCTGAACTAATATTTCATTCATAGAATCATGGAGTGTTAAGGGATTGGAATGGACCTTAAAGATCATCTAGTCTCACCTCCCTGCCCTTGGCAGGGACACCTCCCACCAGAGCAGGTTGCTCAAGGCTTTATCCAACCTGGCTCTGCACACTGCCAGAGTTGGGGAAGCCACAGCCTCCCCTGTGTAACCTGTGCCAGTGTCTCACCCCCCTCACAGGAAAATACTTCTTCCTAATATCTAATTAAATTTCCCTCTTTCAATTTATACCCATTGTTCCTTGTCCTGTCACTACAGTTCCTAACAAAGAGTCCCTCTCCAGCTTCCTTACAGGCCCCTTCAGATCCTGGAAGGTTGCTATGAGGTCCCCACATAACCTTCTCCTCTCCAGGCTGAACAGCCCCAAATTTCTCAGCCTGTCTTCATAGGGAAGGTGCTCCAGTCCTCCTATGGGCTTTGTGTCCCTACTTTGTACTTGCTACAACAGCTCCATGTCCTTATGCTGGGGACACCAGAACTGTGTGCAGTACTCCAGGTGGGGTCTCGCAAGAGCCGAGAGGGAGAGTCACCTTATTTGATCTGCTGTCTACACTCCTTTGGATGCAGCCTGGGGCATGGTTGGTTTCTGGGCTGCCACTGCTCATGGTGAGTTTTTTACCAATCCTCACCCCAAGTCCTTCTCCCAGGCCTGCTCTCAATGACTTCTCCACCCAACATTTCTCTGACCCTGGAGTTAGGACCTTATGCTTGTCTTTGTTGAACTTCATGAGGTTTGCACTGGCCCGCCTCTGCAGCCTGTCAAGGTCCCTCTGGATGGCACATCCCTTCCCTCCAGTGTGTGACTGCACCACACAATTGGTGTCACTGGTGAACTTGCTGAGGGAGCACTGAACCCACTCTCCATGTTGCTGACAAAGATGTTGAACAGTGTTGGCCCCAACACTGACCCCTGAGGGCCACCACTCGTCACGAGTCTCCACATAGACAATGAGCCATTGACCACAGCTCTTTGCTTCCAACTGTCCAGGCTGTTCTTTTTCCACCAAGTGGTCCATCCATCAAATCCAGGTCTCTCCAGTTTAGAGACAAGGATGTCATGCAGGACAGTGTCAAATGCTTTGCATAAGTCCAGGCAGACAATGTCAGTTGCTCTGCCCCTATCCACCAGTACTGTTACCAAATCATAAAGAGGATCACCATATTTTTCAGCCACAATTTGCCCTTTGTAAATCCATGTTGGCTGTTACCAATCACCTCCCTGTATTCCTTGTGCCTTAGCCTAGTTTCCAGGAGAATCTGCTACTTGATCTTGCCTGGCACAGAGGTGACACTGACTGGTCTGTGGTTCCTGGGTCTTCCACTAACCATATGGGTATTATGTTGCTCTTTGAGGATGTTACCTGACTGCCATGATTTTTCAAAATAATGGATAGGGGCTTAAGCAACTTCATCTGCAGCTCCTTCAGGACCTGCGGATGGATCTCATTGCATCCCATGGACTTGTGCCCATTCAGCTTCCTTAGATGGCCACAAACCTCATCCTCTCCTGCAATGGGCTCAGTCTTTGTTCCCCCAGTCCCTGCAGTTGCCTTTCTCAACTTGGGCAGCATGGCTGGAGCACTTGCTGTTGAAGGCTGAGGCATAGAATCATAGAATCAGCCAGGTTGGAAAAAGACCTCAGATCATGAAGTCCAACCTATGACTTAACACCACCACATCAACTAGACCATGGCACTATGTGCCATGTCCAGTCTCTAAGTCCTTTAACTCCTCCAGAAGTCGAGAATGTCAGCCTTCTCTCTCCCTGGGGTAGCCAGGTTGTCTGCCTCCTGGAGAGGGCCCACATTATCCCTTGTCTTTCTTTGGCTTGTAATGTATCTATAGAACCCCTTAATATTTGTTGCTGTTTCATGACTTTCAGTACAACTGTAACTTGGATTTCTCTTCCTGAGAAAATAGAACTAGAGGGTTAGAGGTGTAACAAAGTAGACAAATATAACCATTGCCATTCAGTACTTACTAGAGAATGAATTCCTCCAGAGTCACTTTATCATATTTCAGATCTGATTTGACTTCATATTTTTAAGACCAGGAAAAAGCAGTAGAAATACGGTCAATCAATTAATTATCAAAAATTACTGCACTGTCACTGAAGTATTTCATATCTTGAATTAAAGCTTTAAAAAGATTTTCCATCAGGTAGATGATTGGGGAGGGGATGAGGGAAGGATTTGGGGGTATTTTTACTTTGTGAGCTCTTAAGCTGTGCTTCAGATAGAAAATGTCCCCCGAGATGGTTTTCTAATGCTGGTCCATGTTTTTGCAATTTTGTTATTCCGAGGTAGTCCCTGTTTGTAAAATAAACTTTTGTACATATCTGCAAATGCTGTTTTCTCTACATCTGGAAAAATCCAGTGCTGCTGGAGAGGAACAAGCAGGAAAATTAAAAATATACTTCTGTATCCACTTCTGTCCCTTTGCAAGGCTCAGGCACAAGTTGCCTTTCCTTTCCCTGACCTACATAGGGAATGATTCCTCAGCAGCTCTGCACCAGGTTTACATAATAGTCATTGGAGGAACAAATATTTTGAAATTTCCAAGTGATTTGAGGTCTCTCCATTTCCTCAAGAGATATAAAAGGTTCCTCTCCTTGGTGAAAAGATACACTTAACAGATCTCCACGGAAATCTCGAACTGGGCTGAGCTTAACCACTTTGCTAAATATTCTTTCCCAAATACACATTCCCACCTTGTTTCCGTAGCGTATTGGAAACATGGTATTTGTTCATGTCAGCAGATGTAGTGGCTCAGTGCACTAATCCATTAGTCTTTTAGACCTTCTGTTCCACAGAAACTGGATTTCATTGAAAGTACTGGCTCTGTCATAATGGAAAGACTAATTGCCTTTGTCTGAGGTGAAAAGGACAAGTGGAAGTGTTTCCTTGTTTGATTTTAGTCTCTAGCATGATCTGGTGAACCTGGCGTTTCCCTGACTTTGGAGTACTGCTTTTGCAGATGAGGCACAAGAAATCCTAGGCAGGAAAATCTGAATCTCCAGGTAATATGAGCTGTAGTGATGAAAGGTGTGAAAAGTGATAATTAATGTTGAAGGTGAACACGTACATCAAAGAGCAAAGTTGTGTAA